TTTTCTTTTTTCTTTTTTTTTTTTTTTTTGGAGGTAGGGTCTCACTAAGTTCCCAGGCTGGATTTGAACTTGTGATTCTCCTTCCTCAGCCTCACAAAGTGCTAGGATTACATGTATGCACCCCAACACCCAATTTTACCTTTACTTTTGACACTAATTGTGAACTCCAGGAATTCCCAAAACCAAATCTAGGTTTTATAATTTACTAAGAGGATTCTGAGTTTACTGAAGGTGCTTAGTACACAGTAGTGGTTTATTATGGGGAAAGAACACAGCTTCAAATCAGCCAAAGGAAGAGTTGCATAGGGTTGAATTTAGCAGGGTTGCAAGTAGAAACCATCCCTCTCTCTGAGGACACAGTGCATTATATTAGTCATGTGTGACAGTTCACACCAGGAATTGTCAAGCAGAGGGGCTCACCTTGTGAAAGATTTCTTATGCTGAGACAAGTCAAAGCAGCGAGGAAGACTCCACTCGGGACTGTTGTACTGGGGAGAGGGACAGAGGACAACTCTGCACACAGTAAAGACAGCCGGGGATTTAGAATTAATGAATGGAGTGAGAGGCAGTAGAGAGCACATTATTAACAGGACCATCAGGACTAGGGGAATTTGTGAGGATGACTTCATGGGACTCTTCCTGAAGCAGATCAGGGACAAAAATATTAGAGGTCCCGATGGGCAGCTCGTGTGATATCAGGGTGGTGAATTCTCACTATCCTGACTGGTAGAATTCTTGCTGATCCTGAGCAATGCAGAGCCGGGAGAGACAAGATGGACATGGGAGGCCAATGGTCAAGGCCCAGTTGAGAAAATATTCAGAGTACCTTAACTACATTGTGGTCAAGAAAAGAGTTATTTGCAACTCCCTCAGGGTTCTTTGGGGGCTGCGTCACATTCTGACTTCACAGCGGACCTGGAATCTCCCTCTCACACCAGAGGTCAGTGCCTTAACTGTCCCATTAATCTGGATGTGAGAAATGTCCCCAAGCTCCACCACATATCACTTTGTTAATATTGAGCATCCTTCAAGGAAAATACTTGGGACCACCAACATTTTGAGTGGTAAATATTTTTTCTGATTTTCACATGTTTGTAGACACACAACATAATATCAAGGCAATGATACCCAAGTTCAAACAATAAATTCACGTATGTTTCTCTATGCCCTATACACATTCTGTGAAGGTAACATTCTACAAGATTTTTAACACGCCCTATTTTTCACTGTGACCCATCTCATGAGGTCAGGTGTGGAACTTTTCATTTGTGACATCTTATCAAAAGTCAAAGGGTTTCATTTTGGTACCGATCAAATTTAGGATTTTTGGATTAGAGAATACTGAACTAGTGTGGCATTGTAGCCAAAGTCCCCAGGCAAACAAAGACCTTCCTAGAAGAAAGGACGTTTCAGAGGCTTACAGATCAAATCCTAGTAACAGGTAAATTCCCAGTAGCTGAGGGCAAACAGAACACATTTTGGGTAAGATTAATTCTTCACTCTACACTAATATGCTTTCAATTTAGGTCTCGCTGGTCCCACTTCTCTTTTTCACCTATGGAACACCCACTCTGCAAATACCTCGGTCATCACGGCATGGATCTGAGTGAGGAGGCATCTTTCCCAAATGCCTTCCACTGAAGGGCATCATCTGATGACTTTTCCTTATTGAATAAGGTCACAGAGCACAAGATGTCCAAAACATGTTCAGCAATGAAGGAAAAATTCTGTACTCCAGTATAATTTTTCCCATTGGATTTGTAATTAAAAGCTCTGTGATTGGACAAGCATACAACCTTAGAACCCATTTTACAGTTAAAGGAATTACCTTCCTTAATCCTTTGAACTTCACTGTTACAGGGATGAAGCTGACGTGCTACGTGAAGCTCTGAAGGGGCTTATAGATGATATGGCCAAGATGGACCAAGAAAGGCAGCATGAAGGCCAGCAGGCTAGAGAGAGGTTTTTGGCTTTGTTTCCTCAACTGAAAGTGGAGCTCATGGAGGACATCAAAAAGCTCCATGCCCTTGCAGGCCAGGCTAACAAGGTGCACCTGAATTATATTCTCACTAATGTGCTGGGCGTCCCCAATGCCACTGCCTCTGAAATCTTGACCCTTCTTGACCTGGTTATGGCATCCTTCACAGCCAGGGGCCAGCCAGCACCCTCAGGACAAGGTGACAAGTCAAGAGCCAGAAGCAGTGTAACTGAGGTTTCCTCTAGCCCAGAAGACCATTCAAGCACATTACCAGATCAAGATGAAGCCAGAGATTTGATGTCAGCCATTGTGGAAAAACTGACAAGGTTTACAGAGTCGGTGGGTCGCTTCCCACCCAAAGTTTTTTCCCCAACTGAAAATTGGAAGCAATTCCTAGAAGGCGTTGGAAAGAACATCAGTGCTATCAAGCTGGCCAGCAGTGACCTTGAGTTAATCAACAAGGTCAAATTGGCCATAAAGATGGAGAATATCATGGTCCAAGATGGTACGGAGCTGGTGCAGACAACCTTTGGACACACTGCTGTGGCAATAAGCAGAGAAACCAAGATATTTTGTACGGCCACTGGAGCTGTCTTCTTGGGGTTAGACTTGTACAACCTGGTACAGAACTCTGTGTACTTGCAGGAGGGGGAAAAGTCAGTGTTGGGTAATGCACTGCGGGAGCAGGCTCAAGAGCTGGAGAGTATATTGGAGCACCTCAACCAGGCCTATGAGCATTTGAAGTCGGACTCAAGTGAGTGATTTCCTCTTCACAGCAGCACCCAGCTCAGAGAAGATGTGCTGCACAAAGACAGGGACAATAGCAGCGTTTTCTTAGAGGAGAAAGAAGGTGAGGTCAAGTGCGTGAACCTGAAGGAGTTCAGCATTTTTGTGGCTGAACACAGCAAAGGAGGAATGAAAGCAGAAAGTCAGTAGGTCAAAGAGAAGGCAGGAACCAGAGTCTGAAATAACTGACAGTAGGGGATTGGTGAGTGTAGGGAATGGGAGGAAATAGTTTATTTTGGACTAAAGAATACATAGGGAATCACACAGAGGCCAGTACAGGAGTAAACAATGGAGACAGTCAGGAAAACAGAAGAGTTGAAAATGGGAGGAAGTCAGCATTCAAACCACTACATAGGAAAAAAGAAACCAGTGGCTACACTACAGAACATGCGCCTGGGCTGCGGTCCCCTCAGCAATGAAGCCCATCCCTCGTGTTCTCTAGCCCTGTCCTTCCATTGTCTGCTCACCCTTATCTCAGTCAGACAGTGGCTTCAGGAGATGGTAGTGATGGAGGTCATGGTGGTAGTAGCGGTGGTGGTGGTAACATGATGGTGGTGCTGCTGATGCCAGCAGAAGTAGAGAGCTAGGCAAGCTGTCATCTCTTTTTGGCGCTAGTATGTCAAGAAAGCTCAATGAAACTCCAATGCTGATGTGGAAGTGGGGACAAAACCTAATTCAAGAAAACAGTTAAGGGACCTAATGGTGTGTAAACCTAATGGTGTGTAACCTTGATGTGGTCAAGACAGTCTGGTTGTTCATCTGTCAGGGGGCATGCTGGACAAGATGTTATCTCAGATCCATGGTTCTTCCCATCTTATGTTCTACAAACTTGGGTGTAATAAATATTCACTAGTTCTTCTGGAAAAATGGGTGTAAAGAAGCAAAGGTGATAAGCAAAAGCTGCTATGTGACCAAAGAAAAAGGCCAAGAGATTCAGGAATAGGTAGAGTGTAATATTTATTGGGGACCTTTGCATGGAAGCCTGGTAAAAGGCAGCTGCAAAGTGAGTCGGCCCTGCAACTTGGGTCAGAGGGAAGGGGTTAGATAGTGGTCAGGACAAAATTAAATTCATCTAAGCTGGAATGTGCCTGGTTTATCTCACAATAACACCAAACATATCAGGCACGTTCCTGATATCTTACGTCACTCCACTGATTGCGATTATCTATGGTATGATGGGAAACAGCACAGAAAAGAGAGGGCCATGGTTACTCAGGAACAATCATGTCGGTCACATCTCAAGATGCTGCAGTCAGGTCAAGCTGGATCCCCACGCTAACATGCTGAGCCCTGTTGTGCTGACTGATTGCCTCACCTGGGCTCCAGGTGAGGAATGTCTCCCCATTCCCTTCCTCATGACTTCTCCAAGGGTCTCAGGGAGCAGGTCCTCCATTGCCTTTTTGCTTACCCACCGGATCCCTGCTCTCCCAGCCAGTCACTTCCATCGGACTCTGGCACCTGCAGTCCCACTGGACACTTGAGTGAAGCATGTTGTGTCTGGCTTGGGTGGAGCACAGTATATTTCCCATTCAGCAGCTGAGCCCCAGGACTGATAGGCAGCACACAAACTTGATTAAGATCAAAAGGTCCTGGGTGCACATGGTGGAGAGGATCAGAGGTAGAGGAACAGAGAAAGATACCCGGACAACAAATATCCCCGTTTAGATGCCACCATCATGCTTCCCCTAGACTCACGGAAGAACACTTGTGTCACGCTGCCCTTTAATCTGTCCTTACCCATTTTCCACAATGGGCCAGACTGGCCATTATGAATATAGAGTTGATTATGCCTTTGCCTGAAACTCCACAACAAAGCTTGAAGAAATTCTTCTCATATGCAGACCAGTTTTTCACAAAAACAAAGCAGATTACATACAATTACTAAGGCTGACAGAATGAACACCATCATATGAACCAACATTTAAACAGCAATAGTTTCTGACTCAGTCATCCTACTCCTACAAATAGAAAATAATCTCAAATACAGACAAAGTTTCACATCCAAGGAAAATGTTCATTGTGCTATTACTTACCTAAAGAATTTGGAAAAAAGCTAAGGTCCGACAGTTAGGGGAGGGGCACAGAGGGGACTGGACTGCCCGTGGCAAGACCACACACAGTGTCAGGCAAAACTCCAGGCGCTTGTGACGTGAAGGATCTTGCAGAAGCAAGCAGGTGCAGGAAGGCTTTGGAAACCATAGTGGGGGAGGGGTTTCAATAAATTTACTAAGACAGAAACTTGGGCACAGTGCACAAGACAGGGTTTGGAATGAAAAAAATCATTAACAAAAAACATACATACATGAATAAATATCTTCGTGTGTTTAAGGGAATAAAGCATAGTCATCAAAAACATGAGATTTGGATTTGGAACATGAAATTTGGAAAGTTTTGAGGTCAAATCTTGGCACCAGCACTCTTGGTTAAATGTAAGCACATTACCTGCGGTGGGCAGATTCACAGCTTTAAAATGGGGTCACAAAGGTGGAGTGTGTGATCATGAAATGTGGGTACATAGAAGATGCCTGCCCATCACAGACCCTCCATAAACATATGCCATTATCGTTAATGAACATAAATGCTCCCAAGTCTAGGTAATCTGCAGAGCATTCCTTCCCGTCTGTCCTATGCATGGCTTCTATTGCTTCTACATGGCTGTGTCCTCGTCCTATTCTCCTCGCCCTTCACCTTTGCAGGTCACAAGACCTCTTCCCTGGCTGTATTGAGGGCAGAGGAAGCTGGAGCAGGACCACTGCCTTTCTTTAAAGAGCAGCTGCAGAGACCAGGAGACAGAGAATACACTGAGTGAAGCCCACTTAGGCCACTACTGCCACCTGGAAGAAACCACAGGAGCCCTGACCACTGGCTGTTGCTCATTGTGGCCCTAGATTGCTCCCATCCCATCCTACAACTTGTTTCCTCCTCCACTCCAGCCTGTCTGACATGGGAGCTGTGTGGAAGACCTGCCTGAGATACTGCTATTGGAGCCACAGCCCACAAGCCCTCCCAGGTCCTTCCACTGCCTCTTCTCTGGCCAGGTTCTGCCTGAGCCGACACCTGAGAGTCACTGCTCAAGCACCAAGGAGTTGTGGGCAGAGAAGGGGAGCTCCAAGGGGACAAGTGGAATCTCCTGACCTGTTCTTTCTCCCCACATACATGGTCCCCACCCTCCTTCTGTCCTCTCTTCCTTTCTGCCCCAGATTCTACCCAGATCTTTAGATGAGAACAGGACAGATTCCAAGAAGTAGAAGGCAGCTGGGGAAGGACAAGGAGGAGGAGAGAAAGGGACAAGAAATGAAATGTCAGGGACTTGAGGTGGCAGTGACATAGAGGATCATCCAGCCAGTCACCTGTACCCTCTTTCTGGCTGACCCTGGGCTGCTACCCAAGAGGGAGCCATTCCCCCTAGTTCAAGGCTGTAAAGACCAACTTTGGTCTGAGTGGCTCACCCAGAAGAGTGATCCAGAGTGCCACCGAAATGGACCCTGGTAAAAATTTTGCCACATGCCATCTATGTGACCAGGAGCCCCTCGCCCTACTGTCACATGAGAACAATGTCCCCCATGGCATTGTGAGGACCAGGTGTGACATGTGACAAGGCCAGTGTCTGCCACATAGTAGGTCCTCCCTGAGTGTGGGTCTTCTCCCAACCTGGACACTCTAAGTTCCAGGTGACAACTTCTCCACAGATGGGGAATTATCTCAGGAAAATAGAAATCTGAAATTCATACCAAATGATCATTAGTTTTCCTTAAGCCTTGTTTTCTTCCCCATCACTCAGATGCCTTGGAACCAAGTCATTCCTCAACTCTTCACCAGTCCTGGAGATTAAATTGTCCTACCAGTAGTCATGGTGAGGAGTAAGGGCCTTAGGAAGGTTGGAAGCCAAGGGCTCCCTGCAAGCCTGAGATTCTTAAGGAAGGGCTCTGGCTGATGCATTCCTTGGTATGAACTCTTCATTTAACAAATGGGCTGGGCGCAAGTCAGAGGTGCCACCAGAGAGCCAGGTCTCCTGAAACTTGGAGAGATCACAGTGCTGACAGCTGAGGGTCCAGCTGCCCCATCACCACATCCTGAACAATCCCTTGCACTGCCAGTCTCAGGGCCTGCATCATGAGCTGAAGGAAACCTGTGTACAAGACAGTTTTTTATTCAATAGTGTATAGTTTTTTAAAATGTTTTAAACCCCACAGGTACGTTATATAGGAGTCAAATCTTACTTAGCTGTGCATGTGAACATGGAGATTGTTTGGGACCAGGTTTTGACTAGAACTAGATTCCAGGGATAACTTGACTGAGACTTTCCTAGAGCTGAAGAGCAATACCTGCTGACATGAGTCACCAGACTACAAAAGGAGTGAAATGAGATGTCACCTGAGTTCCTGGAAGATCGCTAGTCCCAGAAAGAACATGAGTATTCCTCCTCCTCTTCCTCTTCTTATTAACCTATCTCTTCCTCATTCATCCTACCCTACATCTGTGATTTTCTGACCCATCCTTGTGGTGAGAAGATGGTTTGTGAACAAAATTCCCACCTCAACACTTCGGCCACTAAATAAGTCTTCCTTTCTCCCCAGTGTTCATCTCTCAGACATTGATTTTTCCACTGGATGGGCTTCCAGATCTGAGTTCTGTGATGAGGTGTCCCAAAATGGAACTCAGTCTGACTCATGGCTGAAAACCACAGCCCCTCTCTCATCTCAGCCTGCTCATCTGCAGATCAGATCACTTGCCCCAGATATACGTCTGATTATTATATGTGCATTTAAAATAGGGAAATGTTTACATTTAGGGAATGACTCTATAATTTCAACCAAAAAGAGAATGAATACATTGCCTACCATAAAGAGTAGTTCTTAGCCCTGCCTCATAGGAGCCTGGAAGGAGGGCCTCCGGCACACGGGGAGCCACAGGCAGGGGGCGCCGGTCTTCCGACCGGCTGGCTCCCTGCCTCGTAGGCACCCAGAAGGAGGGGCCCAGGTGCACAGGGAGCCACGGGTGGGGAGCGCCAGTCTTCTGGCTGGCTCACTCCCTGCCTCGTAAGTGCCTGGAAGGAGGGCCTCCAGAGCACGGGGAGCCACAGGTGGGGAGTGCCGGCCCGTCTTTGGGCTGGCTTGCTCCCTGCCTCGTAGGTGCCCGGAGGGAGGGCCTCTGGCGCAAGGGGAGCCACGGGCAGGGAGCACCAGTCATCCAACTGGTGGGCTCCCTGCCTTGTAGGTGCCTGGAAGGAGGGGCCCAGGCACACAGGGAGCCACAGGCAGGGAGCACCGGTCTTCTGACTGGCTCGCTCCCTGCCTTGTCGGTGCCCGGAAGGAGGGCCCCCGTGCACAGGGAGCCACACGGTGGTGAACGCTGTTGCACACCGGCCTTCAGGCCGGCTGCTGCCACTCAATTGAGAACAACCATGACACAGAGAAGCAATGACACAATTGGCCCACCATGCACTGGCTGCAGATGCCCACCCACGAACATGTGTGAATCATTCAAACATGGAGAAACCCCTGGGAATACATGCCATGCAACGGGTCATTCTTGCTCCTGCCACTGAGAACCAGAAAGGTCCAGAGTCAGCAGAGAAGCAGCTGCTGAACAAGGACTCAGAGAACATGAGAATGCAGACTAAGCCCGAGGAGTCAGAGGTCCTGTGGACTGGGGTCATGAGAGCCGCTCAGAAACTATAAACCAGGAGGACCTTGTACAATTCGTGCAGAGACTCCCTGGAAGCCATTCTTCCCCTGACAGTACAGGCTGTGGTGGAGCTCTGGAGAAGTCTGCAGCAGGATTCCTGCTGCCTGTGCTGACAGTTGAGGAGAGGACACTAACTGGTTGTGGGGTCCCATTGCAATGTGAGGCTGGAGAGAAGACAC